TAAAATGGCGAACACCAATACCCTGCCACCTGCAGTTGGCCCATTCCTCAAATGCATTTTCTCGTAGCGACTGCCGTAGAGCTTTCACATTTCGATGACCCTGATCAACCCCCAATCTCTCGGCACATTCAGCAATTTCAGCCGAATAATCGAAGGTAGACTGAAAAAGGGCATCTGGTACATTGGACAGTCGCTGAGCAATGGACCAATGTTGAAGAGGAGCCTCCCATTGGCAGCGGATTAATCCCAATCCTCGGTATCTCCTGGGGGCATACAACATCGCTGTGGAAGTATTCGCAGGCAGTCCAATAATGGCCTTTACGCTCCTGCGAATCATAGTGTCGATGCCCTCCAGTATAGCAGGACGTAGCTTTGTTAGGGGCGCAGTTTGGAGAGGGTAAGTAAGACCCGGGAACAGATATTGATTGACAATGTTGAGTTTCTGCTCAGGTTTAAGTAAGCAAGAGGTTACCAGCTTGTTTAGATTATCATTCAATTTAGTCACCGAATCTTCGTTGAATTGCAGCTCTCCCGAGAATGTACATCCTAAATACTTAATCGTATCTCCATTCTTCAATGTTTGGATGTACTCACCATTCTCAAGGGAGAGCACCGTAGTTTCCAGCTCTCCTTTATTTATAACGATGCCCATACTTTTTAGAGGATTTATAGCCAGACCAATTTCTTTAAATGTTCTTTGTATGCTGTCAATCACTCTTTCTGCAGCCCCCTTGTCACGCGCCGACACTGCCTGGTCATCCGCGAAACCTGTGAGGACCACACAATCTTGCTCATTCCTTAATTTGTATCCAAATTTCTTGGAAAAGTCCTCGTCACACAGGTCGCGGTAGAGATGATCGATGGCCAGGTTGAAGAGTGAAGACGACAGGGGGCCACCTTGGGGTACACCGCGCAGCACTTTGATCTGGCTAGTTGCATGGACACCGTTGCCAATCTTTATGGTGTTCGTGCTAAGGAGAGCTGATATGACATTTGTAAGATTCGGTGACACACCTCTCGCTTCTAAGGAGCTTACGATGTGTTTGTGCCCAACATTGTCAAAAGCACCGACAACGTCGAGGAAAACTATCGCACAGTCATTTTTCATTTTTTGTGCATCTTTTAATACCGCGTCGATGATCCTCGCGTTGACGTGCGTTCCCGGGAGGCCTTTTATAAAGCCTCTCTGACTCTTGTGGAAGGTGACCTGCTTTCTTAACTCGTAGTCCAGAACCTTCTCTATGATTCGGCGCACAATCGAGTATATGGTGATCGGTCTCCAGGTAGAGATATTGTTTATATCACCTTTGCCCTTATATATCAATATTGTGCGCCCTTGTCGAAGTGGTTCCGGAACATAGGCCACCTTCAGCATTATCTCTGCAATCGTTTTAATAATGCTTGATACCTCAAAATATTTTATTGTGCGGATCAGAACTCCATCAGGCCCCGGCGATGTGTCCATTGATGTTGATTTAATGACTTTCCTGATAGCTTCTATCTCAATGGACAGCAAATCCGGCATCGGGGTACACTGTTCGTAATCCGCACGCCCGCAGAGATTTTCGTTCTCAAAGAGGTCTTTATAATGCCTCTCGATATCGGCCATTTTTAGAGGACACCGTTTAGGAGCGTCGGCATTCATTACAGTTTGCACAACCTTTTTTCTTTTATTATAATAATTATATTGGGCAACCTCGTACTGATACTGCTCTTGCCGACGACTCCTGTCTACTTTGTTTGCCCTCTGCGGATTTGAGACTTGTCCAGCACCCTTGTCAGCCATTTTCATTTTATTTTTTTTCCTCATCCTATAAAATTTTACGGCTGGGTGCTGGGGACCTGGCAGTTCCGCATTAATGACTTTGAGGAACTTTAGGAACTTGCCTACGGCCTCATCAAAATCCGCAGTATTCACCATTTCTTGCTTTAAAAGGTTCTTGAACGTAGTAGACCATTCAACAATGTCCTCTTTTATTTTTGATGACTCACCCTCTCCATTTCTAGGACCTATCACGTTCTTTACTATGCCCCTCAATGTATTATTATTCGCCTCCCTGGGATGTTTTTTTGCAATGTGGGTTCCGAGACCTCGTTCGCCCTTAAAAGAAAGCCCGCATATCGGACAAACTTTATCATCAGGGCGTAGAGCTTCATTTTGCCGCTCACTAAGTACCTCTGCGACATTCAGCGGATCATTTGGCAATCTGGGAGAGACATCATCTATCGACACCGTCTTTCCCAATACCACACCTTCTGTGTCAGGCCATTCCACTTTAACAAATTTATTATCTCCGCCTCCTGCAGTAGCCACAGACATCACAGAGGCAACAACCGCCTCTTGAACAGGTCCTCCAGTTCTCAGAACCCATACCTTTTGTCCAACTTCGATCTTCTTCGTTGGTATTTTGTTCATTGCAATATTTTTTTTTTTCGTTCTAGACTATGCCCACCACGCGCATGATTGAAACAATCTGTGCATAATTAAATAAATAAATAAATACAAAGTTAAAAACTATAAAATTAAGTGTTAAATAGTGTTATAGTTAAAATATAAAATCGATAAAAGCTTAAAAAAAAAATATACATCTATCAAATAAATTGCTTATAAATAAGTTACAATATAAAATCAGTAAAAAGTTTAAAGTTAAAATTTAAGTACAAGTTAAAAATAAGTGAAAGTTAAAATCTAAAAAAGTTAAAATCTAAGAAAGTTAAAAAGTTAAAATCTAAAAAAAAGTTAAAAAGTCAAAGTCTAAAAAGGTTAAAATCTAAAAAGGTTAAAATCTATAAAATAATTTCCTAAAATGAGTTAAAATGTAAAATCAATTAACTGTTAAAACGTTAGAATCTAAAAGAATAAATAAATAAAACAATAAAAATAGTAATTGCCTAAATCAGTTAAAAATCAAAAGATAAAAATTTAAGTAGTTATAATCTAAAAAAAAACAATATACAAACCTATCCACATCACATTATCAAACCTAATATATAAAATAAATTACAAAATATAGGATCATTAAATACTTTTAAAAAAAGAAAAAATTCAGTTCAGCAATAGTAAAAAAAAAAAAAAAAAAAAAAAAAAAAAAAAAAAAAAAAAAAAAAAAAATGTCCACTTTAAAACGTTCTATTAATAATAAATTATGATAGTAAAAACTTATTTTTTTCTTTTTATATTTTTGAGAGAAAGGGAAATACAACAGTGTTTAATAGAATTCTATTTAATTTTACTATTGTATATTTAAATATTCTACCAAAGATATGATATATTAATAGTCCAACCGGTCCGGCCGTCACAACAAAGGATGAGACTATGTTTGCTTAATATACCAGAATGTAGACTGTTTACCAGGGGGTCGTCGTAATCCTGCAGCTTTGCAAACCAGCAGTTGGTATTAGCAATTGTTTACCATCAGAGTTCTTGTCAATGGGAATCCCCTCCACGGCATCAGCTCTGGTGGCTCCTCCAATGGCTGCCTTCTCGTCTAAGTTAAGATTTCAAATAACTTCGAAGTCAATCGTCCGAATTTGACGAAATTTTAGAAACTGATACTTCAATATACTAACTAGATATTTTAGTAATTTAAAACTCAATGGAACTTGGAAGTTAAGAATAAAACTAATTGAAGTACAGACACGATCTGTTCACTAAGACCGAACAGGCTAGACTCAATCAAAGAAAAAAAAAGAAGAAGGTCGCACATTGTCGTCAATAAAATAGAAATTGGCCCATTTTTCATCTACGTAACGACTATTCTTCAGTTAATAATTTATTAAAAATAAAGAATACTTGTACTTTATTTTTTATATTTACCAAAAATAATAACAGAATCATATAATTCCACCCAATAATACTCAGTAAAAAAAAGAATCCTTTACATCTGGATTGGGTCAAATCTGAAGCATAAGGAACATTATAAATAATCATGATGGTCAGTATGGATGATTTTTTGTAACAAAGTAAAGAGTAATGATGATTTTACGAAGGATTTTGGATTTTAAGGGCTGGATACGAGAGGAATTTGATGGTCTAATGGAGCCCCATAGCTTAGCTCCGTAGGTATTTTAATTCGATCAAACATACCCCTATTATTTTTTGAGCAGTATAGTTAAAACCGTGAAATGTTTTATAATACAGATGCTATTCTTTGTTTTTCATTATTTATATCATATGTTGTTCATTATATTTAATGGGTTTTAATTGCATAAAAGCAGAATTTTTTTTTCCATGCTCTCTTTAATTTTTTTTTTTTTTTTAAGTTTCTACAAATCTGAGATATATTAAAATACTTATACTTGATTTACAAAATAAGTTATTGGTTGGATCAGAAATTTTAACTAGAATAGAGCCATAATTGAGATTTCTAAAATTAATAATAATACCAAATACAAATAAAAACAAATATGAATTGTAATTATTACGGGGTCAGTACACGTTCGGGAGCTGGTATTTTCTTCCCAGCGGCGCCTGCAGACGTAGAGTCCGGCCACCCACTAGGCCTGCTCACGAACACAATTTGCATACTGATTAATCTGTTTAAATGTTTCACTCTCAGATAGCTTGGAGTTATATTATCACTAATTGTCCCATAATTAATTCAACAATTTACCTTCCATGAGCACGGAAACACTCCCATGTATGCTTGTCATCCAGATATGTTGGCGACAGCTCGATAGCCGTCACTATCATAAACACTATCGGCATCGTCACTATCGTAAAACCTAGTCATTGGGCAATCGATATCATACATTTTTTCCTAGAGTATAATTGTCCTTTTATGGTTGTGAAACATGGGCAATTGACCAGAAGACTTGCCACAAATTGAGGATAACCGTCAGAGGAATGGAGCGATATCTTCTCGGGATAACTCGAAGGGATAGAAAAGCAAAAAAAAAAAATGGATCAGAGCTAAGACTGACCTTCCAGATATTGTGGAAAAAGTGCACATCAGGAAGTGGACCTGGACCGGACATGTAATCAGGAGGAATGAATTAACATGGACCAGACAGTTTATGGATTGGTATCGAAGAGAGGACGCCCGCCGACAGACTGGGACAAGGAGATGAAGAAGACCGGGGGAGCAGCCTGGAAGAGAGTAGCATTAGAGAGAAAAGAATGGAAAAGGATGGGACCGGTTCATTACCTAGTGTGGTTACAAGAAAGTAAAAAAAAAAAAAGAAAAAAAAAGAAATCGAACTCTCAACTAAGTTGATTTTTTACATATAAGAGATTTTGTATATATCCATTTTTTATCCATTGTTTTTTTCATTGTATGTACAGATAAAGGTTATTATTATTATTAATGGTCCTTTTACACGTTGAAGTTTCTTGGATGAACCGATTAACGTCGATAAACTTAAACTCTTGAAAGGGTTTCGTTATGTTGCTGGGCTAAATTGATTTAATAAGTCAGAAAATTTTGCAAAATAAAAAATATAATACATTACCTTATTTTTGTTTGGAGGGATGCAAATTTTTTTTTAATTAATAAGACTCTTATCCGACCGTCCCTTAAATATGGCTTAGAGCGTTAGATAGTGTCTAAATATCAGGAACAGTGGCTTGTCATATTGCACAGGAAGGTTCTAAGAAGAATATACGGTGGTATTTATAAAAAATGCACCTGGAGGAGGAATAATACCGACTTTTTTTTTTAGAATATTTACTTATTTATTGATAAATATTTCAAACTGTCTCAATTAAGGACACTTACAATAGAATTAAGAGAGCACATTCACGCCATATCTTGATGTAGTATGTACTAATTACGTTATCAAGGCTTCGTTGGGTGGGCTATGTAGCAAGGATAAAACCAAATGAAATTCTACATTCTACAAGGTTTTTCGGAGCGTGTATATGGTAGAAGAATAGTTAGACGACCTAAGATTCGCTGGCAGAACGGGGTGATTATTGACGTCCCTGTTTGGTGTCCGGAACTTGAAGGTAGCTTCAGAAAATAGGGAGGAATGGCGATCTATGGTAAGGCAGGCTTTGACTCAACAACTGGTCCGTAATGCAATCTAATAATATTTAAGACAATTTTGACCAACTATATCAGTTCTCTTAGTGTTTTCAAATATGCTATCTTTCATAATATGCTGTATATGTTCCTCCATTTTTCTATTGTGTTATTGCTTGTATGTTTTTGCGTTTCGGTATATTTTTTGTTTATAGTAAAAATGTTAAGACTCTCAACAAATTTTTAAAATTGATTGAAGTGATAATGGGTAGACTACCTACGAGTACGTACGATATTACTTTGCTGGTATAATCTTTTTTTTTTTGCTGCCCTTAAGGTTTACCATCACTTCTCTAAATATTTTCCAAGTAAACTCTTAAAACTCATTAAATACCATATTTAATATTTTTTTTATTTCACACAAAAAAGAAATCGATTGGTCTATAACAACTTAAAAATCCGTGCAAAGGAAAAGGCGATAATTAATAAAATAAATCACGTAAAACAAATTGTCCTAGGCTCCTAAGGACCTAACCCTCGGATATTTTTATTTCTTATAATTTTTCGATTTAGTATCACCAAAAAAAGTATTCATTGAAATCGGCGACCCCATATCTGTAACCTCTGTTAGTCTGTTGTAAAGTTTAGGCCGTGGTGTAGTGTGCAATTTTTTATAAACGAATGAGTTTATATTTTATTTTATGAATTTTTGGATGTTTGCACAATTGTCTGATTTGTGTGGACATGCTTTGCTGAAATCAAAAATTTTGCTCAATATATCCGATGTATTATAGATCTGACTATAGTGGTATACATTATTCGTTTCTTTCTTAAGTTCATTAAAAATCTACAGTTGCTTTTGGTTTTTCATAAGGAACATGGGTAAAGTTTACAAAGGAGGTTTTTGATATCTCTTCTTGTTCTTATCGGGACCGGACAAACTTAAGGAAATATTATCCTGGACCACCAGTTTAGCGCCTACAAAGAAAAAAAAACTAACATAAATAAATATAAATAACCCGACGAATTGAGTATCCTTAAACTTAAAAAAAAAAGAAAGACGAAACTCTTCTGTTTTATTTGTAAAATAAACGTCAAAAATATATTGAACCATAAAGCATTTAGATATACATTTTTTTCTTGTTTGTAATCGGGGAAGTTGATGAAAAATTTGAACTTGCAGCTCTGGTAAGGAAATTGACATGTTTAAAAAAAAAAACATCAAACAAATAAAAACCATAACTGAAGTTAGTATCTGTCATTATTCTAATGATAATTCCAGACTAAAAAAAATTGAATTTTTACAAAAATATATACTTTTTTAAACGGTACAATGTATTATTTTTAATAACTACCTAATTTTATAAATGGTCGAAATTGTCATCAATGAAAAAAATTTCTAAAGTGAGCTATGAATATGATCAATCGTGAAAAATAAGATCAATACACTAAAGTGTTGTGCTAGAACACGTTGAAAATTAACGTGTAAAAAAAAGCTTTATTTTTCATTTAAATTTCTTGACCAATTATTGTATACTTTTCTGTTACAGGTGAGCAAATCCACATTTCATGGAATAAATGATCAGGTAAAATTTTATTTTATACCTACTGATTTCAGAAGAAAACTTGAAGTCTTGCTAAATAATTCCATTTTGCACTCAATACTTTGTCATTCTTTAAATTTAATTATTGGGTTTTATATGATTTTTTTTTCTAAAATAGTGTTTTTTTCTATTTCTATTTATTCTATAAATTATTTTTGATAATTTTAGTAAGCTTCCAAGTGGTATAATATATTTCATATTATCCATTTCTATTACGTATAACATATCGTTGAAAAGTAAAAGATGTGAGAAAAAAAAAACTATATCTCACATGATAATAGGGAATGACAAAAAATTATTATTGCAAATAAATATTTTTTTTTATAGTTAATAATTTCGTCTTTTAAATTATTTAGTAAAAAATAAATGCTTCAATGGATTTAAATGGAATTTCCATTTAAACCTAAAGAAAACTTTTAAGATTTATTTTCAGCCTGATACACCAACAAGTTAAGAGTAGAAAAAACAATAAAAAATAACTAGAATGTAAGTCTCATAATGACGTCGAATAAATAACGATAAATCAAGGACTCATAATTCTATTAAAAATCGCAATATTTTCTAAACTTTAAGGACATGAGAGTGAGAATCAGATTATCATTATTCCGAAAAAAAAATACGCTTGAATAATGAATAACTTCTTGAATTTGTACATGTCTGTATAGAAACATTTAATAATGATATCTTCGTAAGTAATGACCGCTATAAAAAAAAAATTCTTATCTTAAAATATCATCGGAACGATTTGTTTTCTCAATAAAGGTTTAATAGATCGGCATTCCCGGCAATCTATAAAGAGCGGAGAAAAATGAATTCAAATTAAGACAGCGTTGAGAAACGTATTTTTCAAATCAAAACGGACAATATAAGATCAAGATAAGCTGGAATTTTTTCCTAAACTGGCGAGATCTTCTGGTTTCAGCTCGTAATTATCCGGTCATTACTAAACTTGTAAATTAACAGGAGGAAAAAAAAAAGGAAGAAAAAGATTCCAGAGGAGGGTGATATAAGTTAGAACAAATAATTACAGAGCGCCTCGGGATTAGCTTGTCCAGCCAGCAAGAGCTCTTCCATATTAGGTCATTGCCCAGCATACTAGCTACCGTTCGGCTTGCCAGGAAGAATTGTTCAACCATAAATTGGGATTTTCATAAATAACTTTCAGTTGGTCTTAAGTGATCAGGCATAACCGGCTTTTTATATTACGGTTAAGGAGTAAACGTATTAAAAATAATTTACAAAATATAAATATTAATGCATTTAGTAAAAACTAAGCCGTGAAATGATGTTTGCACCTGTCAACTTTAAGTTGACAATCAGCTGAAAATGCAAGGAATGATGACATATAAGAAAATGGGGACGAACAGTACTAAGCAGCAACTCTGCACTGACTTGTTTCATTTACTTATATTGTTTCAGGAAGAAGATCTCTCATCCAACGCCTTTTTAGCCTCCTCCTCATATTAAAGGCTGTCAGCTGTGGCCATGTCTGTTAATAATCTGTTATCATGACTGTTTAAATTTATATAAAATCGTTGGTAGTGGGTCGTTATTTGTTGATCAACTCTAAGAAGTTGGAGGTCAATATGAGTTTTCTTACCTACATACTAAGGTGCTTATGATTTGTAATAATTTTTATTGGAAGGTTCGAAGTTTTTTAAGATTGGTCGTTTTAGCAGTACCCATCTGTGACGAGCATGTCCGTCCATATGGGTTTAAATATTTGTATTCAGTTTTGAAGATTTGAAAGAAAAAAAAATATCTGGTGTGTCCACTCACACGACTTTCCTACCGATTTCAGAAAAGTTTTTATATCTTTACATATGTTCATGAAGAAACAAAAAAAAAAATGAATTAGATTTATTTTCCTGAAAATTGATCAAACAAAAGATTTATTTGATAAACTAAAGCAATGTAAACTGGCTTGAGGTAGATCAGTGCAAAAATTTCAATACTCAGTAATATTGTTGATCAAAAACTTTTTGCCATAGCTTAATATTTTCAAACAATATTTTTTGTTAAAAGTAGAGGAAATAGTGAAGATTCTGTGACGCGGGCAACAGATTTTCAGGGGCCTCTGAAACGTATAGATACGTCGAAAACCGCATATCTGAAATTTGACCCGATTGCAATACTTTCCTTACCTAGTATAGGTAGGAAAGTAATAAGTTAAAACATGTGTAAAAAATAGAATAGGCTGTATCATCGCTAATACTGGTTCGACTCCGATGATTTTTTTTTGTTTTGTTGGTAATTTAATTACCTTTCAAAAGTTTCATTATAAATTTTACCGTATAATATATACATAAGGAGTTAGGCCCCATAACATTTTTCTTTTCTTTATAACTTTTTAAAAAAAAAATTCAGGAATTTAGTCTATTTACGAAAATTGAAAAGACAATTATTAGAACATTATAGAAAAGTTTCATCAAAATCGTTAGAGCCGTTTTCGCGATACAGTCTATAGAAAAAGATATTTTTCATTTATCGGTTCAGTAGTTCCCGAGAAAATCTTGGCACAGACAGACAGACAGACAGACCAATGGCTAAAAATGTGTTTTTCGGACTCAG